GTGCAGTACCCAACCTAAACCCTAAACCCTAAACCCTAAACCCTAAACCCTAAACTCTAAACCCTAAACCCTAAGCCCTAAACCCTAAACCCTAAACCCTAAACCCTAAACCCTGCTTGAGCCAGCAGGTGGTTGTGGCGGTTCCACCCAAAAGTGGCACCACCATGCTTCTGCAGGCTGGGGAATCTGAGCCTTGGGTTTATGGTCTAGGGTCCAGTTTTTCTGTCTGGGGTTAAAGAGATGTTTAGGCCCCAAACCCCATCTGTAAACCCTTGAGCCCCAAACTCTAAAGCCAGAACCCTCTGAATCTTAGGCCCTAGATCCTAAACTTTAAGCTGTGCACCTGAAACCCTAAACTGCTAAGCTCTAAACCTTAAACCCTTAAGTGGCTTTAAGAGGGCCATCGGCGAGCCCTAAAAGCGATTTAGGGTTTGAGGCTCCCTTCAAATGGTAGGGTCCTTAGAATAGCCCTCTCCAAAGTCTGCCTAGCCCCTGAATAATTCCCCGCCTGGCACCCCTGATAAAGCACGCCTTCAATGTAATGCCAGAGATACATATATATATATATATATGCCATGACATTTTTGGGGTTGAATAGTTGTGAGGGCTGTGGGGTCTTATTATTGGGGAAGGAGAGAAGCCTTTTGTATTAATTAATAGTCCTGTTAGCATCTGCCAGACGCCCATGCAAGAGCATGGTAGGGAGTCCACGAATGCCAGAGTTGGGTTTCGGTTAAGGGTTTGGGGCTTGTTTCCTTGCTCAAGCAGCTTCCAGACATGACTCGAAACCCCGAACCCTAGCCGTCAAACCCCGAACTCTAAACCCCAAATCCTCCAACCAGTATTCCGGCAGACGGAAAAAGGTCCGACTAAAAAAAAGCCAAATTCCTGGAAACATCAAGCACTAAGCCCCAAACCGTAAGCTTTAACCCAATAAAGGCCAGACCATACAACCTGTACCCCGTAAGAGAAAGACGGGAGGTGGCGCATCAGCTCCGCCGCCGAGGAGCCTTTGAAGCAATGCCATGCAGGGTTTTTTCATTCAAAGGTGGTTATATAGGGGATTATACAGGATTTAGGGGTTATATAGGGGATTATATAGGATTTAGGGGTTATATAGGGGATTGTATAGGATTTAGGGGTTATATAGGGGACTACAATAGGGGTTATTAAGGGGGATACTAGGAGTTTAGACTATAGCTCGTGTAGATAGAGGCTTAGGGTTTGGGGTTGAGGCTTCAGGGTCTAGGGATAACTAATGGAGAATCCACTGGAAAGAGAAAGGACAACGACATGGAACCTGAGGTTGCGTAGGTCATTTATAGGAACAATTACTAACATGGTCCTAGGTTCTTGGTAGATACATGGCAAAAGACACCGCGCTTTTAAAGGACGGTCGTCTTGGTAGAGTCATTCTGGGGTTCCATTTTAGTTTGGCAGGGGTAGGGCTTAGGCTTCAGGTGCTGGAGTTTGGGGTTTCAGATGTAGGGGTCATTTCAGGCACGTGAGTCGTTTAGAAGTTTAGGGCACCGTGAAGCGAGCAGAGTTTATTGTTCACTAGCTCATTACAGCATTGATATTTTATTGTTTCTACTAATATGTCTGCTTCTGCAATTAATCCCAAAACCGAAGCCTAAACCGAGCATGCCCGTGTAGCCAAACCATGGTATCCGGTTGAGGGTCCCTGTAAGCCGCCATGGTGGGAGCCGTTTGGTCAAAAATGCGTCCTTTGCAGCCTGTTGTAGAATGTGGCTCCAAATAGGGTCGTTTCCATAAATCGGGGGAGCTCAATGTAGACCCAAAAAAGCTATCACCGTTAATAGGGACTCTTGATAAGGTGTTCATTTGTTGGGGAAACTCCCTCATATCTAGGATACTCCAAGACGGAGCGTAGTCTTGAAAAAGCACCGACTCTGCCCTGATGAAACTCCGAGTTTTCGAGACAATCAATCCTTACCTAGTGTAGAAGCCTCAAACATTACCCACATTCATCCCCTGCAATGCTTATCTCAACTACTTTCAATATTATGACACAGGGGCCCCTTTGGCACTTAGTATGGTCCGTGATAACGACCCATGCCACTGAATTACATAAGGTATTATTGGCTGCAGCTCGTGTCATTTACCTATATTTTTTTAGCTATAATAGAACATACCCCTCAAATCCACTTAAACAGACCCGTACATTACAGTCTCCCGTATAAGCCCAGGTTCAGTTGTGAATGCAATGTTAATCTCATCTCAATTCGTCTCCATTCTGCTAAGTATTGTAGGCAGCTGGGCCCTAAACCATATTCTAATCGTTTAGTCCTGTACCTTGTTCCAATATCCCCGGGAGGTAGGAACCTCCACTTACTTGGGTAGTAGTTTAGATGGAGCTACTAGACCCTCTCAAGAAAAGTAGGATTGTATCCTCCTCTAGGTTCTAGTATTAGAAGAACAAAATACACTCACTTAATCTTACTTGGTTTCGCTAAGCCCAAACCCAAAACGGTAGACTCAAAACTCTAAACCCTAAACCCAAAACCCTAAACCCTAAACTCCAGACCCTCAACCACTACTCAGTTAGGTTTATGGCTTGGTACTGATGACTTCGAGGAGCGACTGCCTTTTGGGCTCGCAGGTGCTTTTGGAGTTTAGTGTTTAGGGTTCAGGGATTAGGGTTCAGGGTTTAGGGTTTAGGGTTTAGTTTACTGCAGTTACTTGGGTTGTGGGGTATAGGTTCACATTACTGGGTAGGGTTCTGGGATATTTAATATTTTCCCCAATGGCTTTAATAAGGGACCCTATATCCTAATATTTTTCAAAGGGTTTTAGGGGCCAACCAGATGAGGGTTCTGGGTTGAAGATGTGAGGATGTCAGGGATGGAGGGTCGCTTTGCTCTTGAGATTGTAGCAGTTCTTGTATACGGCATTGGTGCCTTAAGTGATTGTAAGTTTATTGTGTCTTGAGGCTTCGGGGGTTTGGGATGTCAGGTGTCGGGGTGTAGAGTTTCGGGATTCAGGATTGAGGGAATTTGACTTGTAGGGTTTAGTGAAGTGCTTACCCGATTCGGCTTGGGGTGTGGGGTGATTTTGGATTGCAGGCGTTTTGTTTCAGGGCTGTGGGTAGCCGAGACAATTACAATGACTAGAATAGCCTTATAGGATAGCCCGAACCCCTGACTAATAAACCCCTCCCCTTAACAGGGACTATGATAGGGCTCCTCATATTCAAGCCCTGAAAAGGAGGGGGGGTTATTAATGATGGGTCTACATTACCTACACAAGGATTGCAAGGGGAGAGCCTTGCTAGTTATTCAGGATTCTGTCCAACCGCGCTTTGTGTTTCCAGGCGGAAGGTCGGAGGTTCCTAAACCCCTAAATCCCCAAACCCCAAACCCCAAACCCTAAACCCTAAATCCCAAACCCCTACACCATAATGTGCAACGGGAACGTTTTGTAGGGAGAAGGTGCTTTTGGGTAAAAGTTGCAGAAAGTACGTTTCGCAGGAGCTTGTCCATGCCCGGGTTTTTTGTTGTAGTAACCTATGATCATGGCTGCGCGGAATTCTGTCAAGAAACATCCGCGCGCCACGTCGATGTTAGATGAGGTTGTTGCAGGTTTTCGAAGTCAGAATGTGCAAAAGCCCGTCGTTTTTGCATGTCGCATCTCATTACAGCTATGTCGCAAACGCATTTCGCGCGACCGTGCGTGGCCGATTTGGGACCTGTGCAAATTTACCGCGTTTCGCAGGTCAAAAAGGGCGTAGCAGACGGAGCAGAGCGTTGATAGTCAGCCTTTTGTCTGTGTACGCGCGATCAGGAGCTGTATATGACATGCATTTTGTCCCACTACGCGCGTTGTTTTTTGCATCAGGGGTTCCGGAAAGGACATGGGCTTCGTCCCACTGGGCGCAGTGTTTCTGGTTCTTGGATGCACCTGCAATACGAACGTTATTATGGCTTGGGCATGGATGGTCTGGTAATGGGATGCTCTCGAATATGAACGTCATTCTGGCTTGGGCATGAATGCTTTGGTAATCACTTTGGTAATCGGACGCTCTCGAAAATTAATGCGGTGATTTTGCATGGGGGTTCCCGAAACACTGCGTTCTACAGGTTTAGATGGCTGCAGCTGAAGGGACCGTAGTTATCCCTTCAGGTCAGTGCGGAGGAGCTCGTGCGAAAAGAGATACAGAATGATTTGGACGCGATCCAAGCCCTTATGTCCGCCTGCCAAAAAGCATCTTTGGACTTGACAAATCACCGTCACGTGGGTGAGATGCAGACCGAGCTCAAGAAGCGTATTGTCATCCTGAAAGCACACCAGGAAAAGGTGGAGGAGATGGTCTTCGCAGGAAAGCAGCATGCTTGCGGCAATAACTGTACACATATATACTTATACGTGTGAGCTAGCACCCCTGTACAACGCTCTGATCCCCCTTAGGCATTAGGCGGACTCTAAACAGTGTTTCAGGGGCTTACGGTCTGAGCCTCAGAGGTCAGTTTTGGGGTGGACTGTTTAAGAGTTGAGGGTTTCATAATTTGGAGGGTTGTTCACGCCCAAAGCCTAAACTTTAAATCCTAACCCCTAAACCCTATAGTCCCCCTTAAGTAGATAGAATATGGCCTTGGGTATTTTATAATAAGAACCCCATAAACCCCATATTCTGGCTACTTAAGGGGATTATAATCCCATTAAAGACAACCCAAGGCTCTGAGGTTACTATCTGGGAGGTTGTCGATTGAGCCCCCAAAACTCCCATGCTGTCTCCCAAGCCCCTAAAAACTTTCAGGGCCTAGGGTTTAGCGTTGAGGGCTTAGGGTTTAGGGCTTGGGATTTAGGGCTTATATAGGGTTTAGGGTTTAAGGTTTAGGGTTTAGGGTTTAGGGGTTAGGGTTGAGGGTTTAGGGTTTACGGCCACAAACAGGCGCAGCCCTAAAGGCCTAGAGCTTCGCCCTTCCCTAGGCCCGTTGGACAGGAAGGCATAAGAGTTTATGTCTGCATCCTACATGAGCCACTAATACTAAGGTTACGAAGGAACCATTGAGGGTGGACATAGTGGCCCTTCTTATAGTTCAGTTTACGCTGGTGCCTAATAGATTTGCTGATAAGCAATCCATGCCCATCTGTTAAAGGAGAAAGATTGACTGTAGCTTACACGAACTGTTTTCAAGATACTCCTTCTACAATCTGCCCCTGGCCCCCCAAAGGATCCTGAAAATGGAATCGCCCAATGATTTCCTGGGTACCCCAATGTAGTGATGTTCCACTTTGGGGGATCCTCTAAAGGGCTAAAACCCTCAACCCTGATCCCTAAACGGTTATCACTAATCCTTAAACCCTCAGCCCCCAAACCCTAAGCCCCTAAACCCTAAACCCTGAACCCTAAACCGTGTCTCCCATAAAGCAGGATCAAACCGATGTCATCCCTCAGTTAGAAGGCCCAGATGGATGTTGAGGTCTTTAGGGTTTAGGTATGGTAGGGGCCTCTCGCAACAGGGAGACAACCCTAAACCCTAAACCTTAGGGGACCCTATGGGTCTATGAGGATGATAAAGGGGTTATGGGATTCGATATGAAGAGGTCCCCAGGGGTGGAGGTTGGGTTCACGCGTTTACGGCTTCAGGTTCAGGGGCTTGGGGTTGGGGCTGTGGGTTTTTTCATGTGTGGGGCTCAGAATTTGGGGTTTGGGATGTAGGGCTTGGGGTTTAGGCAGGCATTGTTTAGTTTCAAAGGCAATGTACAGATCATGCGGTTTCTGAAGGGGGTTAATGTTGAATGGGCACTTGCAGTGGAGGGGGATTGCTATGCTACTTCATGTTGTACGTACGTTGTACCTTTCGCTAGACTTCAATTCTACTTGCGGCTGACCTAGAATCATGCATGACTCTCCCCATTGGCTTTGGGGAAAGGTGTTAATCAGCATTCTGGGATCACTTAAAATTCCTCATATGCTGATTCCTGGGCCTAGCCGACGGATTCTGGAGTTGTCCTCTCCGTTCTCATGGTCTGGACCACTATGGCAGCAGGCTGAATCTCGAACCCGCAAGCCTTAGAGGATTTTTTCAGATCCTCAGCCCAACCCACAGGTTCCTACATCCACAAGCCTAAGCCGAAGCTTAAACAAGAAGACAGAATGCCAAGATTCAGTCTCACCAACAGGAGCTGAAAGGCACCTGACCTAGGAATTCTCAGGTTTTAGGGTTTCAGCTTAGTGGTTTAAGGTTGAGCGTTTCGGGCTTAGGGTCGGGAGAGGAGTCATCTGATGCCACCTGTGAGACAAGTTGCTTGGTCTAGGCACCTCTGTACCTGAAAACATCTAAAAACCCCAACCCTACAGCCTAGGTTCTAAATCCTAGGCCCCCAAACCCTAAACTCAACATGAGGTATAGCTTTAAACTCTTTAAAGGGGATTACCTATGTAGGGGCTTATATAGGGTAGCTTTATAGGGGTTATTAACGGGGATCTGGGAGTTTAGATAATGGCTCGCATCCTAAATCCGAAGCCCGCAAGCCCAAAAATCTACACCCTGCAACCACAGCGATTCCCTGGTCTCTATCTGAAGGCTATCTCAAAATTAGGGGTACCTTTAAAGGGGACCATTGGGGTTATATGGGGGGATGTATAGGGGGTTTTTTAGGGTTTAGGGCTTAGGGGTTCCAGAAATTAGGGGTACTATTTTGGGTCCTAACCATGCGCTCCGAATGAATGTGGACCCTTGATCCTGGGGTTCCTAGCGGTTTAAGGTTTATGTACATACCCAAAAGGGTTCCATACTTTGAATCTATCATGCTTCTAAACTCGAAGCCCTAAACCCTGAACCCTAAACCCTAGATCCTGAGCCCTACGAAGGGGGGCCTGCATCGTTGCTGCCGAACAACGACATCAACGGGGAGCAGGCTGCCAGAGCTGACCTAGGCTTAGGGCTTAGGGTTCAGCAGTTTGTCTCTGAATCATCAGGGTTTAGGGTTTAGGGCTACATACTAAACGCCCCCAAAGATGACATAGATGACATCTTGCTTGTGAGAGGCCTTGCGTATTGGGGATACATGTAATTTTGTGGGTGAGGGGAGGTTTAGTATTAGCAGGACCTCTAATTAGCAGTTGGGTAGGTGCACGTTTTATTTGGTTTTTATATTCTAAACCCTCAACCCTAAACCCACAATCCTAAACCCTAAACCCCAAAAAATCATAGGTTTCTTTTAGCCGAGGGAAGGGATACATCTGGAGACTTTCTGGGTTGGTGTGAAGGAGCTGAAGCTAAGATACTAGAACAAGGAAACCGGCTTAGGGTTTAGGGTTTAGGGTTTACCCTAAACCCTAAACCCGATCCCAATTCAAGGTCTTGAACAGCAGCCCGGCTTTAAGCCATGCCTAAACCCTAAATCCTAATGGTAGATGGTCGGGTATAGGGCTTATGGGCTAGGGTTTAGGGGTTTAGGGTTTAGGGTTTAGGGTTTAGGGTTTAGGGTTTAGGGAAGGGTTTCTCAACTAAGGGATACCCTGTTTAGGGTTTTGGGTGTGGCGCCCCGGATATATGGGCTGTAGTCCAAACTCCTTAAAAGGGGTTACATTGGGGATTTATTGCTCTAAAGGTCATTAAGGGGGATCCTAGGAGTTTTCCACTACAGCTCATGTGGGCATCCTAAGTGGGTTCCAGGGATCCCACGAAGAGAATATGGAGAGATTGTGTTAAGAAACCCCTACCGGGGCGGAAGTAGATCAGCTGTTGAATTTTGGGTTTGGGGTCTAGGGTTTTTTTCATCAGCATGTGTGTGCATTTTGGTAGCTGAGAGTTTAGGGTTGGGGGTTGAGGATTCAGGGTTTAGATTCATCAGGGGGTTACGGGTTGTACTTCTGGGGATGTATCCTTTTATAGAAGCCTGAAATACTACATTGGTTCACATCCGGGCTATACGGAAGCCCTGTTAAGCCTAAACCCCCCCAAACCCTCAACCCTAAATCACGTTTTCGGGGCACGACCTTTGGCAAGCTTTTGGGCTTGGAGGTTCAGAATTTGGTCGTTTGGTCGCCAGCTGGCTACCCTCAACCCTAGACCCTAAACCTTAAATATCATAGTAGTTTCCATTTTCTTTTCCATTATGAACCTACTTACTAAGTCCCCATGGCCCTCCAAGTACGGGGTTACCCGACAAGAGGAGGACTGAACATCCAGATTTCCGTACCTATGGCAGGCCGACAGTTGGTCGCACCAGCGCTTGTAAAGTTCCTGCTACTTCCCCGCAGGCTCCTGCACCAGGTCCTCCGTCTGCAGCCCTAGACCCTAAACCCTAAAAGTCTCATTCCAGGGTTTGTTTAAGGGTATCAGTTCCTCTGCTAGCCAGGCCAGGGAAATCGCACTTTAGTGTATTCCCCTTCACCGCAATATGCAAGTAGGCAAGTGCGACGAATAGTTATTCCCGGTGACGTGCTAAAGGGGTATGGTCCTCAACATAAACACACCCCTAAACCCCAAACCCTAAACCCTAAGCACAAGTACTCAACCCCAAAGACCTTGAAGCGTAGACAACGACTTGTGGAAACGCGTTTAGCGGCCAGGCCTAGTGACAGCTTGCCTCCAAGAATCCTCAATACTTTTAGGGACATGGGTTATAGTTTAGGGTTTGGGGTTTAGGGTTATGGCTTACCTAACCCCCCCTCTATACTGCCCCCCAAAGGTTCCGCCTTAATTAGGCTCCCTCAGGCAGCGGGGGTAGCACAGGGAATCGAGTCGTAGTCCCCATCTGTTCGCGCAGCACCCCATGTGCCCGAGTTTCAGAGTCTTCCTAGGGTTTAGGGTTTAGGGTACCTGCAAATCATCAAGTTTGACAAATGTGCAGGTGGGTAGTTCCCCACGTAAGCTTTGCAAGCCCTCATATAAGCCTTATGTAAGCCTTCTGTAATGGCACTCACCTAATAACTCACCACGCGAAAATCCCTCAATGAAGCCCGAAACCTTAAATCTTAGACCTTAAACCATTTCATATGATCTCCATAACCCTCTCCAGGACCCTCCATAAAGCCTGAAATCTTAAATCCCAAGCCCACGCGGGGTCCTCTGTTTTGAGAAAGCTCCAGGGCGACTCTCCAAGAGTCTTCAAGTCACACCTGCGCTTCAAATCTTGCCCAGATCCCCGGCGCATTGTTTAGGGTTTAGGCTTGGGGCTTAGGCCTTAATAGGGCTTAATTAGTTAGGGTTCAGGCCATTGTGGTCGAGGTTTAGGGTTAGGTCAATCACCCCTACACTAATTGCCCCTAAACATGGAGCTACTAGGGCCTTACTATACCTGCAACAGTCCTTTGCGGTACACATTACAGGGTAGGGGATTGACCCAACCTACCGGTAAAACCCTGAACACCTAAACCCCTAACCCTAAGCCTTAAACCCTAAACGGAAACCCCCTAAACCGTAAACCCTAAACAGGGCTGACGCTTGGCCTTGAAATCCTCGTTGAGGATAATTTATGTCACACATCGCTATGAACTGAGAAGGTTGACATTGCGGTTTAGGGTTTAGGGTTTAAGGTTTCAAGGGTTTTCGGGCTCTAAGGATGTATGAACTGAGAAGGTTGACATTGGGGTTTCCTGAATCCCATTTGCGACCGGGGAGTGCCATAATAGCAAGATCTCGACTCTAGATCTAAGGATTCCCCAGCTGCCCTAAACCCTACTTGGGGGGTCAGGGGGACTTAGTAAGTAGGTTAATAATGGGGATAAATGGGGTTACTATATAAGTTATAGGGGTTATCAACCTACTTACTAAGTCTCCCTGACCCTCCAAGTAAACCCCACTAGGTTCCACCTGAATCAAGCTTCTTGGCGGATGATTCGTGCGTATTTAAGGTTACTTTAATGGGAACCTGGGGGTTGGGTGTTACGGGAGCGAGGTGGGCGGAGGTAGTTTAGGGTTTAGGGCCCCAAAATCCACTTCAAGCACCTAAACCCACCTGAGTAGTATTTTATTTGGGGATACTATGGTACCCAATATATAGTAAGATTCTATCCTCCTTTTGGGTATAGTATTTCATATAAGGAATATAAAGGGATTAGCCCAACAATTCCGGGGTTCTCTAGCTATGTTTGAGGCTCACTACAATATCTCTAGCCTTTTTTTGCTGAGGTTTAGGGCTGTGGGCTGTGAGTTAAAGGCTGCAGAAGATGCACAACTTGCTATTTCTGACAGATTGTCCTCCAGGAACTACAGTTGGACCTTCAAACAGATGGAAATACCACACCCGAAATCCTGAGGCTCTCATTCACAACATACACAGGCATGCCCCGAATATCAAATATTCCTGAACCCACATCTCACAACCCTTCCCCCATAAACTCCTCAACCCTGAACCCAGATCCCTAAACCCCCAGACCCTTAATCCCTGACCCCAAACCCCTCAACTCCCATAACTTCCTCAACCCTAAACCCCGAATTGCCCTAAGCCCTACACCCTAACCCGTGTGCAAAGCCTCAAAATCAGCGCTCCGCAGCGCCTGACGGCTCATAATCGCCTCGTCCCATTACAAAATCCCAGCCTGATGTATTGTAGAAATACAAATGTCAATATTATGCTCCCTTCAAAACCCTTCAATGGGGTTACAGGGGATTTGTTGGTCTGAGAACCCTTTCGTGCTACTATTAAACCACACCCTCACCCCCAACACCAGAATATTGAATCTGTCCTCCAATCGTTACGGTCTCTTATGGGGAAGAATTCAATTGTGGGGTGGGGGGATGGGGTGTTGAATTTCAGTATGAAGAATTATGCCCGCCATGGTATTGTAATATATTTAATGATTGGTTGGATGAGTAAGTTCTAAACCTAGGGGAGGTGATCAGTCTTGAGACATGGTCTTGTTTAGGCTCACCTGTAACGTGACACTCCGCGGGCATCATGTCGATCACACTCCATGTGAGTCTGCTGAGTGGCAGGAGAGTTTCTCTTGATACTGGGCTGGATATCGACGTTGAGAGCTTCAAGCGACAAGCACAACGCGCTCTGTCGGTGGGCAAGGGCAGACTCATTGACTCTCGTGGGTCAGTGCTGGACGGAGCAAAGACCATCCGAGTATGTGGATTGCAGAATGATGATGCTTTAAACCTACAAATACGGCCAGTGATGATGCTAGCTAATCGAGACTCGCCCGGTTTCCTGACAGACGCGGCATTTGCCGCAGTTCTTAGCGATGGATCCCTGGTGACCTGGGGCCATTTAAAGCATGGTGGGGACAGCAGCGCTGTGCAAGATGAGCTGGGAGACGTACAGCAGATTCAGGCCTCCCGGTGGGCTTTTGCTGGCATCCTTGACGACGGTTCCGTGGTGACCTGGGGCCATGCTGCTTTTGGTGGCGACAAGAATTCCGTGCAACTTCAGCTGAAGAACGTGCAGCAGATTCAGGCCACGGAAAGGTCTTTTGCATCCATCCTTGCAGATGGGTACGTGGGGCGACGCTCACTTTGGTGGCGACAGCAGTGCTGTGCAAGATCAGCTGCGAAACGTCCAGCAGATTCAAGCGTCTGAACGTGCTTTTGCCGCCGTCCTTGGCAACGGTGCCGTAGTGACCTGGGGCGATGCTGACCATGGCGGCGACAGCAGTTCTGTGCAAGACCAGCTCAAGAACGTGCAGCAGATTCAAGTCTCTTCCAGAGCTTTTGCTGCCATCCTTTCCGATGGTTCCGTGGTGACCTGGGGATTTCCCAGCGATGGTGGCGACAGCAGTGATGTTCAAGCTCAGCTGAGAAATGTGCAGCAGATTCAAGCCTCCGCAAGCGCTTTTGCAGCCATCCTTTGTGATGGTTCTGTGGTGACCTGGGGCGGTGCTGGCTTTGGTGGCGACAGCAGTGCTGTGCAAGATCAACTGAGGAACGTGCAGCATATTCAAGCCTCTCAGCGTGCCTTTGCAGCCATCCTGGGCGATGGTTCTGTGGTGAGCTGGGGATTTTTTGCCTGTGGTGGCGACAGCAGTGCTGTGCAGGACGAACTTAGGAATGTGCAGCAGATTCAAGCCTCTTCTGCCGCTTTTGCTGCCATCCTTGCAGATGGGTCCGTGGTGACCTGGGGATTTTCCGGCTGTGGTGGCGACAACAGTGCTGTCCAAGATCAGCTGAGGCATGTGCAGCAGATTCAGGCCTCTCGTGCAAGTTTTGCTGCCATCCTTGGCGATGGATCCGTGGTGACCTGGGGAAATGCTAATCATGGTGGCGACAGCAGTGCTGTGCAAGACCAGCTCAAGAACGTGCAGCACATTCAAGCCTCACCTGGAGCTTTTGCTGCCATCCTTTCCGATGGTTCCGTGGTGACCTGGGGCCGTCCTGATTCTGGTGGCGACAGCTGTGCCGTGCAAGATCAATTGTAGACCTAGAGCCCCGGCGTGTAGTAACGCCTTGCAGATGTGGTGGACAGTGGGTTGGGAGTGATGTTGAGCTTGTTTAGGATGTGATGCTTTTACTGCTTCTGCTGCAGCTGATCGCCCCGCGATTGCCCTGCCATCGGTCGGCAGTCATCTTATGTTGGTAAAAGGTTTAGGATTTAGGATTGCTTCAACCTTTGCATATTCCCAAACCCCAAGGCACCAAACCCCACCTCGTAGCTCCGTCTGACCACTTGGGATTTAGGGCTTAAGTATCCCTGGTATATGGTAGTTTCCCAAAATAAGGGGACCCCAATCTAGACCCCCAAAATACTATAATCCTTATTATGGGACCCCCCAAAAGGGTACCCTTAGTTTTGGGAAATCCTAAACCCTAAACCCTCTATATCCCTATATAACCCTATAAACCCTTTTAAAGGGTACCC